AATGAAAGCAGCGGAGACCTACCTGGAAAATGCACCAGCGTTGTGGCTTCTCTGGGAAAAACCAGCCATGCAGCTCCCCACGGGCTGTACCTGACTTTGCTCAAGGAAGAGGCAGAGGCCAGGGATATACTCAGCCCACAAGTGCCTGCCTGGCAAGTGCAAGGTCCTGAGTTCGATTCCTGGTACCAAAAAAACCGGAAGAATTGGGAAGTTCGCTACTGTTTCCCATCTTCCAGCCTGCCTGGATTTGCGGCTCTTGGTGCATGAATTAGTACAACATGATTCTCTTTTAAAAATTGCGAGATACTCCCTTATAACAATCGTGTAACGTTATAAAGCACAGTTTGGCAATGTTCAGTGCATTCACGGGGTTAAACCAGTCTCCATTATCTGATTCCTGAATGTCCTCACTGACCCCCAAAAGCAGCGTTGTTTCATTATCCAGCACTCTCCACTTTCCTCCTTCCCCAGACTGGGCATCAACTAATCTATTTTCTGTCCTTTTGGGTTTGCCTGTTCTGGACATTTCATATAAGCAAATCATATAGTATATGACTGTTGGTGTCCACTTTCTTTCAGATAGTGGTTTTCAAGATTCATCTATGTTGTGACATACTTAAGTACTGTATTCCTAAGCCTGAATAATATTCTACTTTATTGCCTGTAGTTCCAGCACTTGGGAGGCTGAGGCAGGAGGATCACTGAGAGTTCAAGGCCAGCCTGGGCTACATAGTGAGTTCAAGGTTAGTCTGAACTATATAGTGCAACCTTATCTCAAAAACTCAAATATATATATACAATATGTATATATTGTATAGATGCATCTTATACCACTTCAGTGCCCATCAGTTAATGGACATTTAGGTCTTTTCTACTTTGGGGCTTTTATGACTAATGCCGCCATGAACACTTTACACACACATTTTGGTTTCTGTGCATTTTAACTGTGGGGTGCACACCAAGGGGTGGAATTGCTGCGCCATTTGCAATTCTATGTTTAACTTCTTTGAGGAACCCCAAACTGCTTTCCACTGTGGCTGCACCGTTTCACACTCCCACCTGCGCTGTAGGAGGGTTCCAGTTTCCCCAGTTTTGCCAACATTTGTTTTTTTTTTTGGTTTTTTTTTTTTTTTTTTGGTTTTTGGTTTTTGGTTTTTCTCCGGTACCGGGAACCGAACTCACGACCTTGCGCTTGCCAGGCAGGTGCTTTGCCGCTGAGCTAAATCCCCAGCCCCTGCCAACATTTGTTATTACCTGTCTTTTTATCATGGCCCATCCCAGTGAGTAGAAACAAGTATCTCACTGTAGCTTTGACCTGTTTGTATTAGCGAATGACAAGACGTTAAGCATCTGCTGTAGTTAGTAGTTTGCAAGGGAATACATTTGATACAGGACACATAATTTATAGAAGTGTCTTATAATACTCACTCAAATCATCAAGTGTAGAAGAGCGCAAGAGCTAGAGACCCAGAGAATCCAGCCAAAGGCCTGGGCCCCATGGCAATGTTCCACGTGAGTCCAGCCAGAGGCCTAGAGCCCATGGCAGTGTCTCCTGCAAGTCTGTGTGGAGGATCTGCACAGGGAAGGCCCAAAGGCCTGTGGTGGGGACTAGAAAGTCTATGCAGCGGGTGAAGGGTCTGTGCAGCAGGGTGAGGGCTCTGCGTGGAGGCAGGAAGCGACGCTCAGGTGAAGACAGAGTTCCTGCGAAGAGCACTGTAGCCATCCCTGGTGACAGTGAGGACCCGAGCTCCAACAATGATGACAAGAACAGCCAAGCTGCTATCAAGAAAACCAGTTGCAATCTAGCTTCTCCTGGGAAACCAGCACAGCAGCACCTGAGCTTCCCCTCTGTTCTCCTTTTATGTCATTTTGGCAAAGTCTTCAGGCAGGTCTCCCACGCCCACAGCCATGCTGACTTAGTTCAGCCGGGTGGCCCCACGCAAGCTGCCTGTTAATAAGTCCACCACGGCATCTTTTTTGAGCACATTGGCTATTTGTATATCTGCTTTGAATAAATGTTTATTTATATCTTTTCTCCATTTTATCCTTGAGTTATATATCTTTTTACCTAGTTGTAAGAGTTCTTTATATAGATACTTTATATATAGATACTTTCTCCCATTCTATTGCTATCTTTTCATTTTCTTACTAGTGTCCTTTGAAGCAACACAAGTTTTGTTGTTTGCTTGAGTTCTACGGGCGGGGGGCAGGGGTTTGAACCCAGGGCCTTTGCACTGAGCTACATCCCCAGCCCCTTTATTTGTTTGCTGAGACAAGGTCTCCCCAAGTCACTAAACTGCCCAGGCTGGGGTGAAACTTTCAGTTCTACAGCCGTGCACCCCCGTGGCCAGCTGGTTTTGTTTTTTGAGGCAGGATCTTTCTAGGTACAGTAGGTTAGTCTGGCATCTAACTCACTGTGTACCCCAGCTGGCCTCGAACTCACACTCTTCCTGCCTCAGCCTCGCTAGTGCTCGGATCACAGGCAGTGTACCACCACTTCTAGTGGAAGCACAACAGGTTTTCATTTTGACAAAATCCACTCCACCTATTTTGCCATTGGTTATTTGTACTCCTGGTGTCATATCTGTGAAACTGTTGCCTCATACAAGGTCATTAATGTCAAAGTATTTTCTAATATTTCTTGTGATTCCTTCTTTGACTCATTGGTTATTACATATAATTTCTGCATATTTACAAATTTCCCAAATTAATTTTTCTTGTTGATCTCTGATTCCATTCTACTTTGGCTGGAGAATATAGTTTTTATGCTGTTCTTCCTTTTAAGTCTGAGACTTGCGAACAGGTGTGGTGGCACATGCCTATAATCCCAGGACTGTACTCAGGAGGCTGAGGCAGATGGATCAGGGGTTTAAGGCTGGCCTGGGCTACATGATAAAACCCTACCTCAAAACAAAAAATTCATTCGTTGAGACCTCTCATGTGGTCTAACATATGGTCTGTCCTGAAAAATATTCCATGTGCAGTTGAGAAGAAAGTGTCTTTTGCTGTTTGTTGGGAAGTGTTCTCCAGACAGCTCTGAGGTTTAGTTGGTTTACACTTGTTCATCTCATGTTTACTTGCTGATCTGCTGTCTATCTGTCCTATCTGTGGCATGTCTTTTTTTTTTTCTTGGTCTTTTTGAGACAGGATCTCGCTACGCAGTTCAAGCTGGCCTCGAACTTGCAATGATCCTCCTGCCTCAGCCTCCCGAGTGCTGGGATTAAAGGCATGTGCCACCACGCCTGGCACTTCTGTGGCATGTCAAAGTCTACATGCACAACTGTTCTGTCTTCTTAATTTATTGTGCCTTTGGTCATTATAAAAGGGGCATCTCTATACCTAGTAATAGTTCCTGTGTTAACTGTATTTGGACTGATATTCTTATAGCCACTCAATTCCATTTTGGTTATGATTTGCATTATATGTCTTTTTCCATTCCATCCTTTCACTTTCAGCTGATTTGTGTCTTTGAGCCTAAAGTGAGTTTCTTGTAGACAGCACATAGCTGGATATGTTTCTTAAAGTCCATTCTGCCCATTTCAGCCTTTTAACTGGAGAGTTTACTAAGTGTAATTAGTGATAAAGTGAGACATATATTTTCCATTTTACTAGTAGTCTTCTGTCTTTTACTCTCCTCACTTGGTCCGTGATTGCCTTCTTCTGTGTTAGATATTTTCTAGTGTACTATTTCAATTCCCTTATTTTTACCATATATTTTTTGAGTTGTGTTTTTAGTGGTTTCCCTAAAACTTATCATTAATATCTTCATTTACAGCATTGCACTTCAGATGAATGTTTCCAGCCAGCCTAGGGTTATTTTGCTGGACTCAAATGGAAACCACCAATTGGCCACATGCATCTCTGCTAGTGGCCTCATGTCACCAACAGTTGGCACAGTCAGCTGCTGGCCGTTACCATCCAGTGCCAGCTTTGCCACTCTGCCACGCGCCGGTCTCTGCCACTGGTCTGCATTGGCTGCTGGTCTCTGGACCTCTCTGGTGTTAACAGCCCTGTTTCTCTGCTCTTGTCCACATGTAATGAGAAATAAATCACGAGCAAGTGCAGAGGAATACCAGAGCACAAGGGGGCCAGTGAACGCGAAGGGCCCTCCTCAACTGAGCCTGGAGGGCCTGGGCTGCTTGTGAGGCAGCTGCAGGCTCGTTGCCAGTGAGGGCCAGGTCTGAACCCAGGGAATCTTTGGAAGGTTTGCTGTGGGGGTTGGGTATGCAAATAAGGGACCCAAATCCCTCCATTACCCTAAGAGATTGAGGTCAGTCTGGACTAGTCTGAGGGGAAGAGGGGAGAGAGAAGGAAAAGAAGGAAGAGTAGGAGGAGGAAGAAGAAGAAAAAAGAAGAGGAGGAAGAGAAAGGAGAGAGAGACAGAATCCATTCATCTATCGGTATGAAAACCAAATATTATTTATTTATTTAACCAACATGGGAAGCCCAGTAAAGTTCAGGCACTGCTGCAGGCACAGACCTGACAGTGACACTCGGGTGACCACACCTTGTCCCAGAGGCTGGGCCACAGGAGCAGGACTCAAGCACGAGCGTGTGACAGCAATGTGCTTTGACGGCTCCTCCTCAGAGATTTTCCAGAATTAGCCCTATTTTTTTCTTAACCAAACTAGACCATGAGCTGTGTGCAACTTCTAAAGGTGGGAGACAAGCACCTTGAATTCTGGAGGATGCTAAAGCCAGAGTTCCTGCCGGTGAGGGCCTCTGTCAGTGCCACTATGGTGAGGGTTTTTGTTCTTTCGCTCATTTTTTCTTTCCTACTCACTTTTTCCCTACCCCTTTCCTCCCTCATTCGCTTTTCCCCTTTACTTTGCAGGGACCAGAGGAAGAGTGCTTTATGGGCTTTAAGGGTTATTCATAGGTAATCACAGCAAGCAATATTTGATCTATAAGTTTGCTGCCAAAAAAGAAATATAAAATTTTCATGCAGTCTCATGCATGTTGAAACTATAAATAACTTTAATTCCATTGCATTTTTTCAGAATTCTCAACCATAACCCTCTGACAACTATCGAAGATCCATCTCTTTTTAAATTACCAGCTTTAAAATATCTGTAAGTATAGCAATACTCTTAGAAGTCATGCTTGGGCTTCTGCTGTTCTCGGTTCCTTCCATCAAAGCTTAAGTATTTTGCATTGGATCTAATTTTACTTTTAATCAGGTTATTGAAAAAAGTAACTGGTAGTTCTGGGCATGGTGGCGCACGCCGGTAATCCCAGCAGTCGGGAGGCTGAGGCAGGAGGATCTTTGTGAGTTCGAGACCAGCTTGGGCTACAAAGTGAGCTGAAGGCCAGCCTGAACTGCATAACAAGACCCTGTTTCAAAAAGAAAAAAAAAAAAGAAAAAGAAATGATGTATAGCAGGGCTTGGTGATGCACACCTGTAATCCCAGCATTTGGGAGGCTGAGGCAGGAGGATCTTTGCAAGTTGAGACCAGCCTGGGCTACAAAGTGAGCTCAAGGCCAGCCTGAACTGCAAAGCAAGACCCTGTCTCAAAAAGACAAAAAAAAAAAAAAAAAAAAAAAAAAAAAAAAAGTAAAAGAAAAGGAAATATACCTGGGCTTGGTGATGCACACCTATAATCCCAGCATTTGGGAGGCTGAGGCAGGAGGATTGCCACGAGCTCAAGGCCAACCTGAATGAAAGAAAGAGAGAGAGAAAGAAAAGTGAGCAGGAGAATTCACAGGGGTGGAGGGTGATCCTGAGGAACATGTGGGTCTGGAACAGGCACAAGGATGTAGGGTCATCAGTGATCCCAAAAAAAAAGAGGCACTGTTATTAAAAGCCCGGAAGACAGAGGAAGAGGGAGAGGGGAATACAGTATGAAAATAAGCAGATGATGGTTTAAATACAGGCCCTGTAAGTTCATTAATTTGATGAGGCAGATATTACATTTCTTCATGAAGAGCTCTCTGGGATTATCCTCTGCAATAAATAAACTTGTGTGCTGGTTTGTTTCCCTGGGGAGGCAAAACTGAACTCACGTGGCCCAGAAATGCCCGCTGCAGCGCAGGGTGTTTCCTGACGACTGCTGGCCTCTCTCCTCCCGCAGAGACTTGGGAGCAACGCACGTGCCTCTGACAGTCCTGGAGAACATCCTCACCGTGACGCTGGAGTTGGAAAAACTGTTAAGTTGCTTCCTTAGATTTATTTCACTTAGATTTAATGTTGTTAGGTTTGTTTTACTATTTTGTTTTTCTCTGTCTCCCTTTCTCTCTCCCTTCCTTCCTCTCTATTTCTTTCTTTTTTTCTTCCCTTCTTTGTTTCTTTTTTTCTTTTTGTTGGGGGCATTGTACTCACTCTGCAGCCCAGGCTGGGATAGAATTTGCTGCAGTCCTCCTCCCTCAGCCTCCCTAGTGCTGGCACTGCACGCGTGCGCCACCACGCCAGACTTGTTCTGCTGTCTCCTTATGCCAGGTGCACTGAGGTCTGACCCCATGTGATAAGTTCCCCATTTTCCCATGTACGATTGGGTGAACGAGCACAGTGGTGTAACCCCACACTCCTGCTGTAAACCACTTGGGCAGCCTCACACAGCCCCTCGTGTCACTGCAGTCCATCTCCCACCAGCAGCCCTGCAAACCACTCATCTTTACTTCTGACCCTAGAGCTTCCCCTTTACCTGCACAATTTAAAAATGAAACCACACAGAACCGGCCTTCTGCGACTCGATTTTATTCACTTAGCATAATACGTAGTACCTGCCACCAGCAGTATGTAAGGTGACCCACACCCATAATGCCAGCACCCTGGGAGGCTGAAGCAGGAGGGTCATGTGAGTTAGAGCCCAACCTGGGCTACACAGTGAGGTTGAGGGAGCCTGGACTGTAGACCAAGATGCTGTCTGAAAATGCTGAAACAAAATCAAAGCATGCTCTGTGTACCCAGATACACGTCTCTTTTCACTGACCTATGTGTAGTTAATATCTTTTCTCTGGTTGTGGGTTGTTTATTCTGAAGAACAGAAATTTTAAATTTCTTAAATTTTGGCAGAGCGTAATGTAGCAAGTTGTTCTTGCGTGATTTGTGCTTTTTTTGTGTTTCCACAAGAAATGTTTGTCTAAGAACCCATGGTCTACCCACAATGCAAAGGTTTTCTCCTCTGCTTTCTCCCAGAATTGTCTAGTTATATTGAGGTCTGTGTTACTCTTTTTCCCACTACTGGGAGCCTTTTTATTTTTTTTTTTTCTGACACAAGGTCTCACTAAGTTGCTAGTTTGCCTTCGCTGGGCTCGAATTGAGATCCCTGCCTCAGCCTCCAAGTCCCGAGGTAACAGAGGTGTAGGGCGTCGAGCTCATTTCCATGTATGTGAGGTGTTTCATTTCACTGGCTTCTGCGGAGCATTTCTGTATGGCCTGTGGTGCTGCTGTTTATCCCATCAGTGGCCCCAACCCCACAGCAAGGGACACAGAGCGGGCTGTGAGCCAGCGGGTGGAAGGCTGCCCAGGACACCCAGGGGAAGAGGCCCTGCCTGTGGGGTGTTGTGTCATCACCTCCCCGACCAACTTCCCCTGTGCTCACACCCCCAGACTCCTGTTCTGGACTCCAGTTCCTGCAGCATCCGCCACTCAGCCCCTCCCACGGCACCTGGCGCCTCCGTCTCCGCAGTCGGAGCCCTCCGCACCCGCGGCCTTTGCGGTGGGGCCTCCACTGGAGGTCCCTGGAAAAGCACAGGTGCCAGCCTGTTCCACAGACCTTTTCAGTCTCTGTGCTTGGACTCTCTGGTGTACACACTTACAATAACTGTGTTAATGTCTTTATTTGCTCATCCTAGTATCTGTGTACATTCTCAGCTGGTTTTGATTATGGCCTCTAACCAAAATATGAGCCATATTTTCTTGCTTAGCATATTCAATAATTTCTTTCCTTCTTTAGTTTGGAAAAAGTTACATAGTTCACTGTGTAACCCAGGCTGGCCTCAAACTTGCGGTGATCCTCCTGCCTCAGCCTCCCTAGTGCTGGCATTACAGGTGTGTGTCACTATGCCAGGCACTCAGTAAATTAGATTCCAGAAGAAAAATTTAATTTGTCGAGTATGACATATTTTTATATTCTTAAAAATATGCTTGAGCAGGTTTAAGGTGGTATTACTCAAAACCATTTTATTCCTTTGGACCTAACATTGAGATCTGTGAGGTGGGACCACCATAGCAGCCTTTAGTCTAAAATTCCTTGTTCACAGAGGCTAAGGCGAGTCCACTGTGAGCGTGAGGCCCATGAATCCCACGGGGTCCAGGCTAGCCAGCAGGACAGACAGTGCTCCTGCCCCGCGTGACACTCAGGGGTCCTCTGAGCCTGCCTGGTGCTGTTGCCTGCCGGGGTGCTGCCTCGCCTGTGCCCCCACCACACTTTCCCGTGCCCCAAGCCACCACCTCTAACTCCGAGGTCCCTGCTCCCCAGGCCACTTTCCCTTTCAGGGTTTTCCTGGACTCCACTCCATCTCTTTGGCGGGGTGCACTGGTCTGCGCCTGTTTTTCCCTCGCAGTCCACGATCCTGGCTGGACACTCTGAAAGCAGGAAGGCCCAGCCTTAGGGCACATGACCTGCATTTCCCGTTGCTTCTGCCTCGCTCTCCTTGGCCGTCTGACAGCCAGTTACTTGGGTTATTTGGGGGTGGGGGGGCTGTTTGTTTGCAGGTGGGAAGGTAAATTCGCCTCTCCATTCGGCTCTGGCCAGAAGCCCGTACTATTGTTAATGTCTGTTTTGTTTTGCTTGCGGATCAAGCAAAGTTAAGGCCTGGCGTATCGTGCTTTTGGTTCCTTGAGTCTCAAACCCCTCCCTGCGTGGCTCTGTGTCTTTCGTGACAGCGGCACTTGGGAAGAGTCTAAGGCACTTGTCCCGTGAGCTGTCTGGTTTCCTCCTGAGTCTTGCGGGTCCGGCATCTGGGGGAGGACGTGGCACAGGGGACCCGTCCCTGCTCCCTGGTGACCCCAGCGGCCCGTGACGCGGAGTGCTCACTTGAGGAGGGTGCTGTCACCCGGAGCGGCTCATGCCACCGGGATTCTTCCCTTCATCGTTTGCGACCAGTGACCATCCGACCGAGCTTAGGCACCTGTCCATCCAAGTGCACATCCCACAAGCCTTGTCTGCGGGCGGGAAGATGACGGTTCCCCTCCAGCGTTCCTCTCCGCCTCTTCCTTCGCTGCCATTACTCTGTGAAGGGACAGCCACCCCTTTTCTTTTTCAGGCTCATTATCAATCTGGCGGTTCTTCCTCACATCCCCCCCCTTTCCCGCCCTCCGCCTCTGCGTGTGGTTCTGGGGCCCGAACCCAGACTCTGGCGCGGGCCGGGCAGGCTCTCTGCCCCAGCTGCACCCCAGCCCTTCCTGTCCGTTCTGACGCTGTGTCCAGACCTGGCCAATGCGCGCTCCACGGCCACCAAAGTGCGCCCTGTAGAGAGTGCAGGCGCTCTCCGGCCCCCAGGAAGGTCTCCTGTGTCCGCAGCCCGCAGCGCCGGGACTGCACAGAGGCCGCGGCTGCCCAGCAGGGCGGAGGTGCTCCCGAAGGAAGCTGTCCCCAGGGCCCAGGGCCCAGCTTCCGGCCCCGGCTCTCCCCTCCCCCGGCTCCCGCTCCCGCGGGGCGCGGGCCTCCTCCTCAGCGTCCGCAGCCTGGCGGGCATCGCTCTGCCCCGGGCCCACCGGCCACCAGGCCCGCCTCAGCGCTCCTCGCCGCGCAGCCTGGGCCTGGCCTGGGCCTCCGTCCCTGCAGGGGCCCTTCGCTCACTCTCTGCTCTGCCTGCAGGGTCTTACCGAGCCACATGGCCTGCTGCCTCTGCCAGCTTAAGAGTGACATCGAGGTTGTGTGCCAGACGGTCAAGCTGCGGTGTGCCGGCGCCTGTGTGTCCAACATGACCCAGTGCTGTGAGTGTCAGGGACCTGAGGGTTCATGTTTTCGTCTTATTTGGGGTTCAGTTTTTAATCTTGAACTGGTGGTAGATGTTTAAGTAATGACATCCTTGTCTTAGTTGTACTCGTGTACCCTGAATTGCTGGACTGCTGCCTTGCTGAAATCCTCTTCTCAGTTCTTGTCCTGTGACTTAATAAGGGCACAGTGCCAGGTGTGGAAGGTCCATGAGTAAGGAAGGAAGGAGCAAAGGCGTGCGTGGCCACGCCGGGCGCTGCCGCCGCTGGGCGCCCTCCACAGTACCGCGGTCATGAGTGCAGCGCGGTCTGTGAGCAGACCGTGTGCGCAGCACACTCCGGCGTCTCCCCCTGACGGGACAGCCGGAGCTGTATTTGGTTCCATGTGACTTCGTGGTTTTATAAGCGAGTAAGGGATGCTATTTCATGTGGAGCCAAGAGTTTCTGATCCATAAGCAGAAACTGTTCCCTACTCCGGGAAGGGAAGAGGGCTCCCCCTGCCCAGACTGCCCGCTGGGCACCGGCGCTGTGTCTCCCCTTCCCGCCCACAGAGAGGTGGGCGCACTGCCGTGCTTCCCGCGTGTCGGCCTCGTGAGTGTCACTAGCGGTGCCAGCGCAGGACTGCTCCCACCCGATGGCTGGGGCACAGGACTGCACCGTGCTAGGGCCCGCAGCCAGTACCAGCACTTCGCTGCTTACAGAGAGCCATGATTGTGCCCACTTCCGCAGCACGTGCACTAAAAAGCAGTGCTGCTTGTTCTCAAAATAATTTTTCACCAATTACATTTTCTCTTCTCTCCTGAAAGTGAGGAAAACAAGAGTTTCTCACCTCCTTCTAAGAACAAGAGAACAGGATGGGAGGTGTCGAGTGCTGGGGCCTCGGGCCTGGGGCTCTCTGTCCCCGACCCGGGCTCCCCACCGGCCCACGTGCCTCCTTTTCTCTGGATTCCTACCTCATTCCTGACCCACAGCACTACTGCCGCCAGCCTTTGTTCTCCTGGGACAGAAACTCAGCACACGGTGGCGGCCTTCACCCCCACAGTCAGCAGCTTTGGCTGGCTCCCGGGAAGGGCGCGAAAGGACAGCGGGCAGGGGTCTGAGAGAAGCAGCCTTTTCTCTCATACATTTTAGTATGAAGTAATGTTTATCTAGAAATTGTCATAATTCTGTAGATTTACTCCACATTAGTCCCTTTAGGCACAAAACTGGGCGAACTGGGGCCAGGGATGTAGCTCAGCAGCACAACAGCCTGCCTGGCAAGTGCAAGGTCCTGAGTTTGATTCCTGGTACCAAAATAGAAAACCTGGGCAAATTAAAAATCTCTTAATCTGTACCCCAGATCCTGCCCAAATTTAAGAATGAATCAGGGCAGACATAATATATTTTTTGTGGGAGCCTTTTTTGGGGGCTGGGATGTAGGAGACCGGGGCCAAGGGAAGGAACTGGGGGTGGGCATGTCCAGATGAAGACCTGTGGGCAGAAGGGAGCACTCCTCCTCACATCTGCCTCGCCGCCCTTAGACGGCTGTCGCCCATCATGGTCATCTGTGATGGCAGCGGGAACGTGACACACGGGCAAAGTGACGAGAGGAGGCCTTGTGCTCCCTCTGTGGCGGGAGCAAACAATATGGCCCCGAAGGTGAGGAGCCTGCTGACCTGCCAGCGGCTGCTGAGCGGGCAACTCCCTGTCTGTCACTCTTTGGTCTTTCACTGGGGACCCACAGGCGGCTATCCCAAGAACGGCTGCACTGCCCACGATGGGCCCTTCTGATGGGAGCTGCTGCGCAAAAGAGCTCTTCCCGCCTTTTGCTGTTGCCTTCATAGGGTTAAGTCTGGGTTTAGTTTTCTGCCTTCCAACTAAGCCCTATGTTACGAGCCTCAGACCCGTGGCTGTCCACGGAAATGTCCCCTGACTGAAGCCGTTTCTCCTTTCCAGCAGCTGAAGCAGCAGCCCTGGGGAACGTGGAAGGGCCGTTCATGAAGGCGCTGCAGGCCCGGAAGAAGACCACCAGCGCCGAGCTGACCATCCAGCCTGCGCCGTCGTCTCCCCAGCAAGGTGGCGCCATCTGGGCAGGCTTCGGGAACCAGCAGCTCGACTTCCGCGACGAAAGCGACGTGATCAGTGCCCTCAGTTACATACTGCCCTACTTCTCGGAGGGAAACCCAGGAGACACAGAGTCCATGCTACTGCCGTTCATTCAGCTGCTTTTTGAAAATGTTCAAGATACAGAAAATTCCCTGGCTTCTTTTAAAAAGAATATAAGGAAGTCCTTTATACCCGACTCCAAAAATCTGATTTACAAAAATAAACTGAAAAAGCTGTATTTTCTCCGAAATTGGTTGGATGCAGAAATTCAGAAAAAAATCAAAGAGGTTAAGAAGGAAGAGGAAGGTCTCGTCCATATGCAGTCCAGCATTTTGGATCCCAAGTGGCAGCCTCCCATTTCTGCCGAAATACAGGCAAAGGCTCCAGCACAGGAAGAGCGCATGGCTGAGCACCGGCGGGAAAGGACAAGGTTGCGGGCCGCGGACAGGGCCCTCAGGAACTCGGAGGCCGCGCGGACGAAGCAGCTCAGGCACAGGCGGGCCGCCCGGACCCTCGCAGAAGCATCGCGGTCCCCAGGGCCACGGAGCTGGAGCAGCGGCTCGGGGGCGCCGGGGCCCGGGCGCCTGGCCCG